TTATTATGAACTTTGAATTTTTATGGTCCGCGAGAATTTTCCGAATTCTTAATGTGGCCCACAGAAAAATATTAATTGGTGACCCCTGTGTTAGAATAACCGGTTTACAATCACAAATGTACAAATGAAATTATCCTATGTACAACTGTTGTGCTGTAAAATAATCGGAAGTTGCCGTATATCTTCGCTGTGTTGCGTGTACAATTTGTAGTTATGTCTCTTAAACGTAAATTGGTTACATTAACAATTGCTGAAAAAGTGAACATTATAAGTGAGGTGACAAAAAGTGGTAAACAGAAAAATGAAATTGCCAAGCAATTTAATATTCCACCCAGTACACTTTCAACTATTCTGAAAAATAAAGACGATATTTTACAAAAATACGAAACTAATAAAGGGTCTATGAAAAGAATGAAGATTTGTGAGTATCCCGATATAGAGGTTAGTTTACTCAATTGGTTTATTCAATGTAGAGATTTAAACATTCCAATAAATGGACCAATTTTAAAGGAGAAGACTCAATTTTTTGCTACTAAACTTGGCCATAAACAATTTAAAGCTAGTCAAGGTTGTTTAAGCAACTGAAAAATTAGGAATAACTTCGCTTTTCGTAAAATATGTGGTGAAAACGTTTCAGTTGACCAATCAATATGTTCTGACTGGTTAGTAAAATAACTACCAATTATAAATCAATATTCCCCCAATAACGTTTATAATGTTGACGAAACAGGTTTATTTTATAAATGTTTACAGAGTCAAACATTTGTTTTAAAAGGAGAGAACTGTGCAGGGGGAAAAAACAGTAAAGACTTTATTTTAAAACAACCCAAACGTCAAACTCTTATTTCAAATTATTTTTCTAAATAATTGTAAGAAATTTACATATTTTGTGTTTTAAAATGTAATATTTTAATACATTTTTAATTAATAAATAAGGAAATGAGTTTTAAAATTTAATTTTTTAATTTTCATTATAGTTTTTAAATATACATATAATACTTCTAATAAAAACAAATTAAAAAAAAAAAAAATGTCTAACTTGAATTTTTTCGTATTTTTAAAAAAAATTTGAGTTATGCAACTCGAAAAATACATAAGTCGAATTTATTTTTATGTCCCTTGACATTCGAGTTATTAAGACTCGACTGTATAATTTTTTGGAAAAAATGAATTTAACCTACTGCAGTAGTACTAATGCTTAATAGTAAAATAAATTACTTTAACACAATCATCATCAAATTTACTAAATTACTAAAAAATTATATAGGCTGACGCTTTGATCGGTCAAAATCGTTTTTCGTATACAATGATTTTATATCATTGAATTCAAATTTAACACCGCTCATAACAGTGACCTACTGGCTACTAGTAACCTACTGTACAGCAGAGCAACATCCCTTTACCCACTTTTGTATCATGATTTTCCTTATTATACGGGTTTCAAGTTTTGAGTTTCAAGATAGTGTTGTATAAATATTGTTTAATATTATTTCAAATGTTTAAAACTGAATGGAAATATTTAATGTTTAATGCTTTTTTATTTTTAGATAGGTATGTAGGTACCTAATCTACTTGAATGTAGTTAACATATTTATTGAAAATGGTACGATCATACCACGTGATCATCGCGTGACTTCAGATCTTTATAACTTTAGTTGAAATAATTCAATTGTGTTATACATTTAAACATGACCTATTATTGTATGACATTTATAAAATACTGGCATTGTAATTTTTATTTTTAAATTATTGGCATGCCATGACAAAATAAAATTTATAGAAAAATGACAGTTAGAATAGATACGTTATACATAATAATATAATCAATCGTGTCCTCACAACTGAAACATAATATAATAGTTGTGTATTGTAAATAAATAAATAATAACAAACTTCAAAAATACTTACTTAATCTAATATGTTCAATGTCATTGCTTATTACGGGGATAAAATAGTTATGATAAATGTGATTAAGTAGTTAAATTTATGATTAGAGATAGGTAGATGTGCAATATTAGTATATTACCTATTTCCTATTTTTTATGTAGGTAGGATTACTAGGATTCTACTAAAATGAATAACAAATAAAAACTCTATGACATTATTTAGATTCTAAAATATATTTGTGAACATAGACTGAGTTGAACCTGTTGTAGGTACTATGAAATCTTACTACTTGAGTACTTGACCAGTTACCAACTGATAGTCGATGGCCATTTTCGGGTTATTCAAAATGTGTGTCGAACAGTAATTAATAATTTTTGATAGGTATACGAAAAAGTATTGAGTAAACAAATTATAAAACGTTTTACATTGCAAATGGTTAACTCCCATACGGCTATTCAAATTACTATAAGAATAGGTGTTTTTGCCATTTTTCATAATACCAACACATATTTTATTACATCACACATGCACATTAGAATAAATAGGTAAGAATGATCATTGATCATGCAAAATACATTTTTTAACCTAAATATTTGTAAACAGTCTTGCATACATTTTTAAATAATTGAAATATAATTAGGACAATAATTATACTTAAATGTATTTATATAATATATTCTTTTAATCATCGGATACCGTGCCCTTAAACTCTTAACCATAAGTCCATAACTGATAAATTATTATCACAGCCTTCGAAAAAACATCAAAGCTTAATGTATCAAATAATAGTTATATTAAAAGATTTTTAAAAAAGTGTCGCAAAATTAAATTTTTCATTAACTAAAATAATGTAAATAGGTACTGTTACAAATTATTTGTTGTTACACTCGCTTTTTTATTTGGTATGTACCTACTATCATCTATACCGCAATAACGAATTTCGTATTACATATTATACATATAATATATATACAATATACCCTATTTGGGTTAAGACTGAAGTGCTTTCGTTCATGACGTCTATAACTCTAAACTCTGTTGTAAGTTCCTACACGAAAGTAACAGTAAAATAATACATACATACTCCAACTCCTACATGTGAGCTGTGTAAGTACTTACACAACAGAAAAAAATGTTGTTACAATATACAACTATACTTCATTTTCATATATTTTATAATTCAGTATACTTTAGTACCTCATATAATTCCATATTTCATACAATACTATAATGGCCAGGCGTTCTGTGATTGGCTGATAGACATCGCCTGCCGTCTTTGGTCGTAGAGAATCATTAAAACATCGCTGTTTTGAGCAGCTATTAAACAATATCAAAATGTACTAGCAAAAAAGGTAATAATTAAGGAAAATTATTGTATGTAAACAAAATATATGTGTGATAACCGCAACAGCAAAATGTAAACGAGTGAGTGGAATCAAACAAGTGACAGTGCCCTAAATGATAATACAGCTCGGACGAAACGAGTTTTGATCGATAAAGTGGTTCATTCTTGTACTAAATGGAGTATAGATCGATGTGTTACACACGAATCGGTAGTATTTATAATATTATGTTTTAATATGCTATGTGTTAACGATAAAAAAAATTTTATTTTTAAATTGTAAGTATTGAATATATTTGGACACGTATTTGGCATTCTAAATAAGAATTTACAAAAAATAAGCTAAAAAAGACTAAACAACTTAAAAAAACAACGACATAATAAGGGTTTCTAAACGACAAAAATGTAGTATACGTACTATAAAGATTCAATAATGCCAAAATATGTAATAACGTAATACTCAATCTCTATGAAAAATAATGGAATCATCATGATACTTGGTAAATGTATTTGAGTGTTACAAATTTTAATAAAGCAAACAACAGAATGACCGAAATTCAATCATTTTACATCTTATTTCTGAGTGTTTTAATATTATATTGTTTGTGTTCCAGCTCTATACAATTAAACAACATTAAAAAAGCTACAACAACCCTGTTGGTTGACAATAAAATGAGGTAATTTAATTGAGTTTATTTTTATTACCTTCGTTTTTTTATTCAACATTACGGAAAATAATTGTTAAATTGTTGTTAAGTTTACATAAGTTATAATTTGTTAAACTATATTATGTAAAAACGCCTGTAGATACCGAACTACTAGTTATTAGTAGGGCTCGGATTTTGTAGCAAATGTTTCTTTTGGGGGGAGTATGATAGAAAGATAATTCTTATATATAAATACGTTTTGAATCGTTCCGATTTTAATGAAGTAAACTTTGTTTTGCTTTTTATTGCTTTTTCCCCTATTTGATACTTTTTTCTATATTTTTATATATTTTTCTTGAAAATTTAACTTGTTTCTATGTTATTATACTTGGTCTAACTAAAACCAGTGAAAAAACAAGTCATTAATATATGACTGATAAAATAACGATGGTTATTGTGCCAAAATAGTTTTATCTACAATTATCTATAAGTAGTTGTATTTACGACTCAAGGAAAGTGAAAATTATCTGAATTAAACCAACGTATTTAACGTTCCAATACTTTAGTTGACTGGTAAATATAAATCGACAAACAGTGAGGTATAGTGCTCTCTATAATCGTCAAAATGCCAAAAGTTAAAAATTAAAATTATATTAGCACCTATAAGTATGAGTTTTAATGAAAGTAACGTGATAAATATATGGTCGTAAATTCCTTTTTTAATATTTAATTTTATGTGTAATTGAAATTTGTTTTTTAGAATTAAATGTGATAAATACTTTTTTAAGGATTTATTTTGCTACAAAATCCAAGCCCTACTATTAGTTATTACTTATTAGGTACTCTATGCGGCTATACTTATTCTTGTTTTTTTTTACAGTGATATAATTAACATATAAGGAAATAAATAATATATGCGTTATATTTTACACATAAAACTATTAACATATGACTGTAAATAATTATTTTTAACAACAGCTATTTTAAATAATTTTAACCTTTTAAAAATAAATGTACTAGATGATTCAGTATTACGATTTATTTTACCATAAATTTCACTTAGAACAATAATAACAAGATCGGATTACTTTTTTCCTGTAATTAAATATAAATATTAATTTTACTTATTTTTATATTCAATAGTATAATATAGTATTAAAATATTATTTCCTAATTAATCATTGTGGTATAAAGTAAAATTATTTTTGTTCGTTGGCAATTTGACTGGTTGGTTGATTTTCTTCGATGTTTTCGGAATAACCATCATTTTCATTGATAGAATTTTGTTCATATGGTTCAATATATTCTGCGTTTTGTGTTGGGTAACTATTGTTTTCATAATCGTGTTGTGGCTGGTCATAATTGTTGACATTCGAATCTGGATAATAAGTTGCATTAGCGTCCTGATTATTATCAACATAACCATCATACTGATCTTTTGGGACAGTCTCGTCGTAATTTGCATTGTCTTCCTGATAATAGTAACCGTCATTTGTGTGCTGATCACCTGTGTATGTTTCTTGTTGGGCATTTTCGTCATATTGGTCCTCATGATGCCTTTCTGTGTTAACATTAGAATTATTGTCGTAATAATAATTGTCTTGTTCTCCATTTACATAATTTTCTTGATTCTCCTGATAGTGCTGATCAACTTGATTTTCATTTGTACCTTCCTTTGGATGATTTTGATAGTAATAATCGTCATGGACCATATTTTGCTCTGCTACGTATTCTCCTTGGTGATCAGAGTCATTGTATTGATTTTCTGGTTGTGCTTTTGGATCAACATTAGAATAGTTTTGATAATAATAGTCATCGTGAGCCGGTGGCTGATTATCATAATTTCCCTGGTAATTAGGGTCAACATACTGTTGATCTCTTTGTTGCTCTTTTATGCCATCCCTGTCATGATTTTGATAATAATAATCGTCATGATCAACGTGCTCATCTGTATATTCTCCTTCAACAACAGGTTTAGAATATTGATTTTTTGGTTGTTCTTGTTGGTTAACATTAGAATAATTTTGATAATAATAGTCATCATGGGCGTGTTGTCTTTCGACATCTTGTACTTGGGAATCAGGATTCTCGTATTGGTTTTCTATTAGATTTTCTCTTTTTTCATCTGTAGGATTTTGATAATAATACTCATCGTGTAAATGGTTCTTGTCATCAAACTCGTTTTGTTGAATGGGTTCAATGTTGTTGCTTGTTACGACTTCTTTGTTACCATCAACGAGCTCGTTTGTATAAAATTGTACGTCTTTAGGAACATGTTCCACTTGTGTCTCATACTGTTGAGTTGGTTGTTCTTTTATGTTGTCTTCACCAGGATGATCTTGGTAATAATTTGCACTATTCGTGAGCTCGTTATTCAAAATTTCATGCAATGGCTCTTGGTCTTCTGAAATTGGTTTGAAATCAGAACTAACTTGTGATATGGTATGAGTAATATCTATTTCATTGGTCGAATCATTAACAGCATTATATGGTTGAATAGTTTCGGAATTGTTTTGTTTTTCCACACTCACGTTATCATTTTTATTAATAAATTGTTGATGGTGATCAGTTGCATATTCGTTCATATTGTATTTGTTCATATTACTATTACTATTACTATGATCAACTATGGGTGAGTTAATTATATTTATACCACTTTTGTTATTATATCCATTCTCTAATTTATTATTCACTATATTCGAGCTTTTTGTACTACCATAAGTATTTTCTTTTTTCAATTTTTGTTCGTCCTTGTAACTTTCTCTGCGTCCAGTGATATTTGATTTATCATTTATATTTATATTATTATCTGTGTGATCTTGATAACCAAAATTGGTTTTTTCTGTTGTTTCCATCAATTTTGTTTTGCTATTATCATTACTATCACGTCTGAGATCAAGGTATGTATTTTCATTTGATATATCTTTAAGCATAACTTTGTTTTTATCATCTCGTGTCTTCGGGTAAATCTGAATATCATTATTACTATCATAATTTATCCCATCATTATTATAAGAATGTATGCTTTTTTCTGACAAACTCGAATCATTTCCTTGAAAATTATTTTTCAAATTTAAATATTTATCAGATTCAAAAGAATTTCCAACTGAAGCTAACTTTTCTTGTTTATTTAAAGATTGTCTTCTTGAGCTTACATTTGTATTGCTTGGTGAAATATTTTGTTTACTTATTGAAACTGGGTAATCATTTTTTTGCAATAACGATGTTCGACGATTATCATCGAGTTTCAAATTTGATTCTTTTCTCCCCAAAACTAATTTTTGATCTTTCGTGTTATAATCCCCATTAGTATTTTCTTCAATTGAATTCGTACGATTAGGTAGATCAATATGTTCATCACCGAGATCAAAACTAATTCGCTTTGGAAATGTCAAAGGTATTTCAGTTTTTTTTTTATATAATGTGGATTCAGAATAATGATCATTGTCTTTGTTTAATTGAAAATATTCGTCGTCTGCAGATATTCTTTCTGGGGACGTAAGTATTGAGTTCTTTTTATATGTGCTTTCTCTGGTTACTTCGTTTTTTCTATTGCGTGCACTGGAATCTAATCCTAATGTTGAACGTGTTCTGAATGTTTAATCTCCTTGGCCTTTAATCTCTAATGGATTAAAATCGGTATAATATGTAGGTTTTTCATAACTGGGAATCATATACTTTTCAATACGGTCTTTGTGTGGGTTCCATACATAATCTCGTATTTTTTTTTCAAGTAAACTGCTGGCATTTTCCAATTGAGTTCTGTGACACAAAATATCTCGGTGGTATACGGGTGAACATGGTCTTGTTATACTAGAAAACGATCGCTGCCCCAAATGAGGTTCATAATAATAATCACTATCATCATGGCCGAGATAAATATTATTATCATTTGTTGGATAATATCTTGAACGATGTTCAGGTATATATGGCTCAATATTTGATTTATCAATGCGATAATCATTTGTAGTTCGGTAACCGTAATCGATCATTGAATAAGATGGTTCTCGTTCAATAACTCTCACTGATTTCGGATACCGTGTTGGCCAATAATGAACTTCTTCTTTTGGATATTGCTTAATAGGTTTTCGTCTGTAAAATCTCTCAGTGGTTTGTCTAGGATATTGAGCTATAGGTTTTGATGTAGGAAAATAATATACTTGGTATTCTTGAGTATCTGGTGTTTGAAAGTTCACTGTCTTTCCATATTTTTTAGAATTCCTTGGCATGAAATATGTGTTATTCTGATCATCATGTACCGTGGAAAAGTCATGAAATCGAGGTTTATAGTTAGTATTGTAGTTGCTATAGTCATTCGATAAATACATATCAATTGTATTTAAATTGGATGTTTTTTTATGTTGTCTGAAACCCAAATCATCATCAAAAACTAAATACTTGTATTTGTTATTAAAATCTATATGTTTATGATGTTTATCCGTATTAAATGTGTTTGATAATGATTTAGGTTTATCCATTACACCTAGATATTTTAGTCTATTATGAATAGCCGATCCATCCAAAAGTGAATTTTGTTCTTTTATCGTTTCATCGAGTGTTAGTTTTATTAGTCTGACATAATTGTCACATCGCTCCTAAAATAATAAAAAAAATAAAATTATTCATTTTACTTAATAGTATTAAATCATTTAGCAAGTATTAAATATTTATTACAACCAGTATAACTTTAAAACAATGGAATTATAATTAGATTTAATACAATGAATTATTAAATTTTAAATTATAATACTTAATAATTTAAAACCGATATTTTTTATAACAACTAACAGCTCAGGAATAAATAACCCACTCAGTTGTGTGATTGTTGTGGCTTAAGTAATTTCAATGAGTAATTTAATTTAGTCAACTACCTACTCAGTTTTCACTAATCTCAAATAAACTAAGAGTTTATTCATTCACTTACATTACTTAAATGTATGAAATTAATGAAGAAATTAAATTTAAAAAGTAAATATATATTTTAAATATTATAAGTCTATTATTAAGGAAATTTGTAAGTCTTGCCTGAGTAATCTAAATATACAACTATGTCAGTTATTACTGTGTTATGGCAATTTTGAAAAAAAAACAACTGAATGGATTATAAATATGAATATATTATGTAAATATAGTTTTCATTAAAAATGTAATGTCGATATAATGTAATTAAATGTATTACCCTTAAACATCTCATTCTATCGATTTTCTCGGCCATCATATTGAAATTTCTCTGAACTCCATCCATTTAGAAATGTAAAATATTTATGAACTATCCTCGGTATGAACTGTACCAGTACTAAAACATATTAATTAAAACATGTCTATAGTAATTAATCATGTCATAAGTAATTTAGTTTAAAGTCAAGCAAGCTATAAAAGTAAAATAACTTCAATATAACAATGTGCACCTTCCTAATATAAAATATTTGTGTAAATTGATACTTAATATGTTTATAATTACAGAAGAATGTCAATACTTCAAATACCTACACAAAAAAACCAAACATATAATTAAAGCTATATAAGTTCAAAGTTCAAAAAAAAATATTTAATTTCGTTAACTATAAAGGTAGGCCAAGGTCTAACCTATTACAGATATTTTAATTTATAAATTAATAATGAAAAGAAATATTATCATAACTATGGAATATTCAGGTAAATCGATTAAAGGTATTACTCATTTATTACTATTGTAGCATATTTCATATTAATATTTTTTACAAATAGTCAAAAGGCAGTGTAATTTTATTGAGAAAACTACTATTGTAACCTAACTTTAGAATATTGATAGACATAGTAAGGAGTGTATTAGATACATGTATTTCAAATTCTGAGAAGAGCAATGAATGTACTGATTTTATAATCATAATCATAGGCGGAGCCAGAAGTGTTGTTCAGCGTATAAGAAATCTAAAATTAGGAGTAGAGGGGGGAGGGCTTATCTTTAAAATCACTAAAAGGTTTTTAATGGTCACTTTATTTTTGATAATGACACAATCGACATACGTTTACACGATCGATCTTGGTGTAGGATTAGTTATAATAGAATGTTGATAGAATGCTCTTACACTTTTTTTTTAAATTTATCGGAATATAGATTATTTTTTTATCATCAGACCACTCATTAGTCACAGATATTAGATTGCAATTTTCAATGAAGTCGTTAACACATTCATCAGCTTCGCCATTATAAAATTTGGGTTTAAAAAAAATTGGTTTATATAATATATTTAAAGTTTCGATTTGAGTGTTTATATTATCCGGCTTCACTAAATCAGTATTCTTCTTTATTGAACGCGTATAACAGGTGATCTATCACGAAGACTAAAAGGTTTAGTTACAAATCTAGATCGTTATCGTCCTCTATTTGATTTTTTGATCAATATAGAACTTAATAAAAGTCTTAAATCTACTTTTTCGCTATTTGTCGAAAACTTGGCACCTAAAAATCCTAAAATTTGTATTAGATCTTGTTTAGATAGTATATGATAAAGATATAAGGATTTTGGTACATAAAGTAATTCAATTTTTTCCTCTAGGGACTTCTGTGTAAATTCCTTTTTTGAGAGTTAATTTGTAAGTTCTAACGAAAAAAGAAACCTAATATCAAGTTCAGTGATTTATTTAACATCACTGGGTAATTTAATATTCCTAAAATTAGAAAAAGTTTTAGTGATATCTGAATACTTAACTGTTTAAATATATGATGTACCTACATCCGTTTGGCGTTAAACTGCAAATTATCCGATAAATTATCAATTTTCTGGTAGTTTTTTGGGAATCATATTGATATTACAATATTTAAAATGCAATCTATTCATTTTTTCTCAATTTAAATGAAAACGGACTTTCTGGGCGATTAGGGTGTGCAGCTGCATACCCTGCACGCCCCGTGGCTCCTAATATGATCATAATGTATGTTTGTTTTTTTAATTATTTTTTGGGTGTCTATTTACACAAAAAGTAGTTAAAACAATGATTCGATTGTCCACTTCTTTTCAGGTGAGAAAGTGAATCTAATTGGTGCATTTGGGAGGTCAAAATTTAAAATTCCCAGTATTTTTCAAAAGCGCAAAACAAAGATTAAAATTAAGGAAAACCTGGAATTTTTGTTTTGGTGTAACTCTAAAAAAATTACTGCAGATACATGACATTTTCACTGTATGTTTATACTTTATTCAAGTATTTTATATGGTTATATAATTTTCAAAATATTTTGATTCATGTTGTGCTATTTATCGGTTATATTTTCTAAATATTTAACCTGATTTCAAACAAAAAAAATAACAATATTTTTTATTTATCGCCTGGGTTACTGAAGCGCAATAGCAAATATTGTTGTTGCACATCTATTTACACCATTCTTCGTTACATCGGAATTTTATTCCAATTTAATAACTGCACAAATACGATATAAAATATTATATACTGTATGATAAATAATATACTAATATGTTATACCTATATTTATATATGCGTTGCATTTGCCAACAATTAGTTTAAGTTCAATCTATACCGTGGAAAGTAGGCCAATAGAAAAATAACTTATTTATATAAGTCATAATACATAAGTAGTAGTAGGTTCTTATTATAAAATAATATAGGTATTGTCGTATTGATATTAAGTACTATAAGATATCTTTAAAAATAGAGGCTGATGCCGTTTATACACAGAATCGTATTTCATATTATACAATGGTTTAACATTGAATTAAAATTTATCACGACAATAATTAGTTATTTATTATAGTAACCAAGTAACCTACTATGAAAACAAGTATTATCTCTAAATGTACTTTAACAATGAACAATAGTCCCATAAAAAAAATATTCAAAAATATGTGATAACTAGAAAATAATCAAGATCGTTGATTAATAACTCATGTAAATATTTTCGTGTAAAATAAAAGCTAATGACCTATGAACTATGAAGCCTAAGTAGTAAATTGATTAATAATAAAATAATAGAACCAGGGAAGTCGGCATCGGTCTGCTGTATAGAAGGTCTCGAGTATTCCTCATCTCTAAGTAGGTCAATTGATGTGTAATTGATGTGTTAAATCTGAACTCAACGATAGTAACAAACCATACTTACGAAAAACGATTCTAAACAAAGACGGTGTATCAGCCTATCGGCTTTTGTATTATACATATTTTTATATTAGTAATATATTATGGTAGATTAAACTTATTTTCACCAAAAACAAATCACATTATGGAACATGCCTAGTAATTATTATTATAATAATATTCCGCATATGATATTACCTACATTATAACAAGCTATTATTTAAGTTGAAGCGTCGAGTAAACAGATTATATCCTATAATATTTGCCTACCTAGATTTAATATATACAATGGAATAAGTCAATACTGAACGGTGTGAATAAATAGCTCAAAACAACCTAATCTAAATATTTTGAAAATGTAAATTATGAAAGTATAATTGTATATAGTAGGTATATAATAAATATTAATAAGCCCACCGCGATACGTTGTATCGTTTTTTTGAGTAGTATAAAGTCCTTACGAATAATATTTTATGAATGACAATAAAAATAACCAACATTATTATTTCGTCGAAATTTTAACTTGAAATGTCTATATAGGTAAAGAAAAACTGTGCAAATATATTTTTGAGATTTTTAAGTTTATGTAAGAAAAACTTAAAAGGAACATAGATCAGGTAAGACCCAACTCTTGTATTTAATTTATGAGCTTCACAGCTATATAAAACCGAAAATCGTATATAATTTTTAAAAATTTTTGATTTGACACTTCGTGTATTAATAAAAATACACACATATTTTCTTTTCTGGAATTTTGTATCCAATTTCTAATATTTTACACTGAGCCTAAAATTGTTTATCAACACTTCAAAAAAAAAATTCAAAAATTCAAATTGCCTATAAATACCTCAAAAGTTAGTATAAATATTTTGAACATTTTATCATAAAGGTATAGAAAATTATAATATAAATTAAAGTGGAATGTTTTAAGTTTCTTCCATCAATATTTCTTAATTAGTACTAAATAGGTAGTAAAAATCATAAGAGCTCAGAGTATATTATCTACATACATATTTTGTATGACATAACAGAGCAACACAACACATAAATATTATAAATAAAATAAAATTCAACATGTCTTAGAATATTAAAATAAATGGATATTATACGTTTGATTGTTTGAATAACCAATGATGTGATCAAAGTTCAAACTGTCAAATAAATGTATTTGTCTTTGATCTAAGCTTTTCATAATTTGTAGTAGAAAAAATTCAAAGACATTTTGATTACATTTTCAAACCTAAAGAATTTAAATTAAAAATAATATGAATTTGTTAACTTGGAATTTTATTTATGGATATTTTTAAGAAACATGGTTTTTATTAAAATTAAAGTTTACACGAATCGATTCAATTGATAATTTAAAATAAAGTTCATGTAAGTAATACATTATTTTAAACTAGGTGTATGAAAATCGAGTTCATGAATGTATTTGTTTATTGTGTGATGTACTGTAATAAATTCAAACATTATAATAATTATGAGAATATGAGTGCAATTAGGTACATAAATACATCAATAGACAATAGTTATCATATAAAATACTAGTTAAAAATAATTAATAATCTAAAGCTTATAAAAAAATTAACTTTAAATGTAGAGATAATACATATTATTTATTATATACTAATATACTATGTATATAATAACCTCAGAACAGAATAATAAGATACAAAAATTACAATTTATACAATTATAAGCTGAATTACCGATTGACAAAAGAAAAATCGCGGGAGATATAATAGAGGATAATTTGTTTTTTTTAGGTATTTGAACAATATGTATCTTTACTACGGGTGTTAGGTACAGATCATCATCATTTCATGATGATCATAATTCCATAAATAGACAACAGTTTATTAATTTAATGGGTAGAACACGATTGAGAACGTTCTCACATGCTAACTTTTAGGCAACGTTGCCACGTTAATTAAAAATAAAAATAATAAAAATACAATACATATACAATATAATATATAAGATATCAATCACTATATTTTGGTTACAAAATAAACTTACATGGAATTTTGTTTTAAATTTTCAATCCTTAGCTATTAAAGTTAAACATTTAATAAATTATTAACAAAAAAATCATATTTAAATTTTAAATTTGATAAAAAAAAACACACACACATATCATTGTACCTATATATATATATATATATGTATGGTATATAGGTATATATAACGGCAATAGTTTGAGCGTAAAAGCCTAGCTATGATAATTTATTATTAACCGTCGACAGTGTGCCAAATGTCTCTTGTTAATCGCATGAATTGTCCTACATTTTTTAAACAAATTGTGAAAAATGCCCAAAAAATGCATTTTTTTTAAAATAATAAAAAAAAAAATCAGTTTACACATTTTATACTTACAAAACAACGTTTCAAAACACCAAAAAAAGATGCCTTTGCATCAAAATCCCAGCCCTAAAAAGTATTACTAAAAGTTAAGATAAATGGCAACGTCGCTAGAAATATCGTTCTCAATCGTTTGATTTTAAGGTACAAAATATTGTTTATTTGATCTGCCGACATCGTTCTCAATCATGTTGCTAAAAAGGTAAAACGTTCTCAATCGTACAACACCGAATTTAATTATATAAATAGGCTTAGTATTAATTATAAGATGTGTACTTCAAATGTTATCAAAAATTATTAGGTAAACCAATTGAGCAAATTAGCCCTCACTATATTATTATGATACAGAAATGAACAGGTATTATTGGCCTTTAAAATATTTTAAATACTCGTTGATTTATAGATAGTGTTATTTATATAGCTGACATAACTGCAAGACTAATAAAAAAACAAAAAAAATGAAAAATAAACAATTATTTTCAAACATGTTGGAAGGATTATAATTGTGTTTAGGGAGAAATCAACTACCCCAAGTCCTCCTTAGTTACGCCGGTAAATTATTAACTATATTCATATTAATATATATGTAGGGATAGGGATAAAATAACAAAGTTTTCATAAGTAGGTAAAAAAGTAACTGTTGTTTTGTCGATACAAATGTATTTTATTGCATACAAATGTATACTATGATATCGTATCGGTATGATAAGCAAAATAAATTGGACGATCGTTTCGGCACGGTTTCGTCGCCGTCCACCCACGATGTATGGACGTATGGTTATAAATTATAATAAAGACATAACTTTAATTTATAACAATTAATAAAATGTATACGGTTCAACCACAATAACAACATACATAGTATATTCACATAGTTTCAACCAAATAGTACATGTTATAATATTATATTATATGGTAGTTACTCGTACTCTGGTATAAATGTAGATTGTAGAATGTAGAGTACTGTTAGCACTCGGGCTTCGGCGATCAATATCGTAACGATTAGTAATTTGTCTCAAAGGCCTACGCTGACGAATATAGGTTGGCAACAGCCAACAGCGTATACTCGTATCCAGTGGTTGAAATAATGGATAGGTACCAAGAATTCCACTACCTATTTTTTTTCAGTTAATCACCTTTTTAATTTATTTTTTTTATTTTTTTCCAAAATTACGTATCCCTATAATGTCTCTATAACAGTGGTCATCGATCACCAAAAAGCGGACTGTAGACAACTTTACCTGACCCGCTCAGACAAGATATTAATTTTTAATTAGTATTTTTGATAGTGGATTAAATTAATTTTTCATTCAGTTATTTTATTTTTTTATTTATCTAACTTTCTTTTGATAAACATATTTTGTACATTCAATTTTTATGGTTCTCCAAAAATATTAATCGGTGCGTCCCACGTCTTATAATATCTACAATATTCCGCATTCGTATATTTCCGCGGGATGCATAAAACATATAAGTGCATTATACAAAATACTATAATGATGCGCATAATTGTATTTACTTATTACAGTACTACCTGCTGTCAACTGATGTCTGGCTGGCGCCTACAACTATAATGTCATTATTATAGGTAGGTACTGTTGGTGCTGTTGAGTGCTGTGCTTGGCTCTGCGATTTAGATACTGATATGCTCGTTATAGTCCAGGAGATGAAAAGACTAAGAACACTGACCGATAGGGGACATTGCGTTGTCTTTTACTATCTTTATGATGATAACATAGGTAGATATATGGTATAATATGTTTTATTGTTTTCAGGTGTAGTCGGTTGCGCCCACGTTCGTTGGAGTTATAATATTGACGAGCCTGCCGCCATCGACGGCCTCCATCAAAACGTCAATACAATCGTTATACGAGTATAATAATATAAATAAAATTGATTTAGATGAATCGCAGAAGATGGGACACGCGATATTTAAGTATTATATTAAACGCTGAGATTCTCGTACGTAAATCGGGCACTGTGTTACTACAATATAATAAATTTTTATATTTGGTATACATTGGTACACGCGATACACCGGGACACGTGTACGCCCGAATTACTACTGTCGAACTACCAAGTACTACTACAGCGATCGCGGTCGTGTGCTCGGATTTTTAACGGCGGCAGTGGCGGTACACCGTGTCAACCGGTACGGTTTCGGCGCGTCGTAAATATTATATTATAATATATATTATTATTAGCTCGAAGACGACCTGTCGACTTCAGCAGTTGACGACGACGAAATTACCGTATTTTTATTATTATATTATGTCTTACGCACATGATATTATGCGAATAACAGAATAAACGTAAACGCGACGACAGGTGTACCTATGTATATAAAACGAAGCCCGCCTATCTGCGACGGTTTTTTCGAAAGTTCACCTTGACACGAGTTTCAGACTCCCGAAACAAAAACAACAGAAAAAAACGTCAAAATATAAATACATAATATATATAATACACCTATCTACCGACTCTCCATCGCGATGCCACCATATAACTTATATACAGTGTATACAATATATATTATACACCTGTGCATACCCGGGTAGGTACTAGGAACTAGAAAGGTGTGTAGTACTGGGTTTGATCTAGTTCTTTTTTTTTCCTTTCCTCGTAGAACTTATCGTTGAGGCCGGGAGGAAGAGAGGTGTATATATATGACTCATGGACACGCGACCCGGTCGTCGTCGGGCGAGCTGGTCGTCGTTGCGCGCACGTAAACGTGAAAAACTTTTTGAGCATCGTCATTTTATCATCGCTGTTATTATTATTGTGTATGTGTATCTAGCATTGTACAATGTGGGTTAGACACCCACCCCCGATGTTTTCGCGGGTTTTTATTACGTGTAGGTATATCGTGTTATTATTATATATCCTCTTTTTACATGTCATTGGCGTGTTTTCAAAATAGTCTGCCTTGCCTACGACGCGTTGTCATTTTTTTTTTTTTTTTTTTTAATTCAAACGTGTATTATGTTTGTACATATATATTTTATTTTTCGCAAAGCCCCGTGACTGTCACCGAACGCCGTAAACGGTGGATGGCGTGGCAAAGAGAGTATTTTCACGAGGCCTTATTGTATTATTGTGTAGCCTTATATCATGCGACTTCTTGTGTCCCCGGGTGTTACGAGAGTGCAGGTCAAGTTCTGCTTTCGCTGTATAGGTTATGGCCTATGGGTACAGTGAATATTATTGTGATCAAATATTCACATCACACGATAGCGCTTATGGCTTTAAGTCCTGGACGCATAAAAACTTAAAATAATTAATGTAAACCGTAAAAACAAGAGTACGCTTAGGACTGGCTATGAAACGGGCCTTATACTGACAGGGCCGTATTTGAACTTTTTGCACCTTTGGGGCAACATATTTAGCATCCTCCCTTTCCAAAAAAAAGTTATTTCTTAAAATGTAAAGTACAATTTATGTTTCTATATTATGTGGCATAACTGCGATTGTAGAAAAAAAGCTGGAAAACCTATGTATTACAATGAATTTAGAACAATGGTGCCATCAAAATGTATCTGTCTAACTTAGATTCAAAGTTAAAACGTAAGTTAAAATAGATTCTATAAGTGAAACCCTTTTGAAGTTCACGAGTTTGAGTATTCCTTACATTTTGAAAAGTATTCACAAAAATCGATTGGAAGCTAAATTTCATTTGTTCCGTCTTCATGAAAAAAAAGTGTAAGTAAAACAAAAATTAAGATAAAGACATTTTATAGTACCTAATTCTGTAATATTAATATTGTATGTTTTTTTCTTATTGTAAAAAAATTGCACTATACACATTGCATTGAAAGAAATAATTACCATCCAGAAGCGTGACCAGGACGAAAATATAGGACAGGCCCGGTTATAATTATTTTAATCTTTATAAGTACAGTATTATGATGTAAAAATATTAATAAATGATAATAACTACCTATTTGAAAACAGGGTAGGGCAGGGGCGCAGGGCCTAAGTACTATCATTTATACTCATAAAATGATATCAATCATCGTATAGTTTATCGCTTGTAACAATTGAATCTCAAAGATGTCAAGCATCGTATCTTTAATGGCAAATTCTTCAATGTATTTAAAACTATAATATTTGAGTCTAATCTAAATAATACCAATATTAGGTTAGTCAGATTTAAAAAATGTTATGGGATATTTTGTTGACCTAACCTAACCTAACCTTTGTTGATGGAATTAAGTTTGTGTCATTAAGATATGCACTTTAAAGCATATTACATATTGAGCTTATTATCATTTTATTATCTAATTGTTTAATTATTTTATGAATTATTGTATACAAATTGTATTATTTTTATAATTATTTCAATAATTGTATTTTTGTTACATTAAATAAAACAAAATTATACCCAACCAGAGAGTTAAATCATTTACCTTTTAGATCTTATAAACACTTACACTTACTAATGCATAAGTGTTGGTACATGCAAGTGTATGTACACTTGCAAATAAAATACCACAACCAATATTTTGTTTCCATGATGTTTTTTATGCTATATTGTTCATATGGTGTTTTGTATGTATTATACATACATAAATACATAATACATATATATATATAATATAATAAATCATGATGATGATGGTGTGGCCCAGTAGTAGAAAAAATATACGCATGTATTATGCGCATCAGTAATAAGTAAGTTTAATTAACATTTAATGAAGTGAATATTAATTTTGAACTGTATTATTTTTACATAATTTTAATAAATTACTTTAAACACATTTGGAGTCAATATAACTAAAAAAATGTATGTTATATCAAATGTATTGTCATTTAATGGAGTGAATATAGCTATTGAAATGTGTTAGTTCTACAAATTTCTGACAAATTACACTTATTACAAATAGAGTCAATATAACTTAAAAATATTTGTTAAAATTAATTTATTTTTACATGTTATTTTTAAATTAAGAGGAATTAGAATAATCTATAATTGGTGTTATTTTTACATTTATTATTACAATCATTGTGAATAATTACGTAGTTATTTTGAATACTGTTGTTGTTGTATCCACCCCTGCCCCTTAATACAGTTTAGGCGTACAAATCAAGCATTTACAATAAATTCAATGTTTTAACAATAAAATGAAGTTAAATCAACTACAATTTAGATTTGAGCGAAAAACGAAGTGCAAATGTGTATTACATTAACACGTTGGTGTGTTAAAACTACTATACTTTTCTATGTGTGATAGGTACTTTAGTAGGTACTTATATTTGATATGATTCAACTATCTCACCATGCGTATAAATGTGGTCACTGATTACTTGAAACAAAACACAATTATTTTATTAATCATATCTTAAATCTATTAAATTTACAAATTATAAAATTTGTAACCGAAAAAATTATGATTAGAAAATATCCTACATGGAACTCACAAGTTACGATCTACTCGGAAAACAATGAAAGGTTTACCTAATAGTTGTACATTAAATCTTAATTCTACCACAATAAATTATAAAAATTATTACCATTGTGATTGTTAATACTTCGTGAAATACTAAAATGTACAAATATGTAAACATTTAATCTAATCAAACTTGAATTTTCAAATGCCTTTAAAATAATATTGAGTAATGATTTATGATTATGAAATACCTATGGATAGATATTATAATAAGAACATTATGATTAAACTTTTAATATAATTTTAAGTTTTCAAAATCATAATATATTTACTCAGATTGTATGAGAGGAAGATAATTTATAATCTAACTTTAAAAGTCAAAATCACCTATTATAATATTATACAAAACCAAAAACACATTTTGTTGTTATTAAATGGGTCCACTATGATTTTAACTATTTTTAAGATTGCTACTACATGGTCCATTCGCTCAAACCCATCAAATACTTTTAGTATCGTAATTATGAGTAACTTTACAGTTAGTAAAACACAGATTATTTGTATCACAGTAGGAGTGTTTCAAAAGTAATAATATTGTTCCAAGTATAAATATATATAAATTATAACAAACTGCATTAGAATATTCTATTGATTAAAAATAATAGGTATATGATCTAATATTGTATACATGCATATTTAATCAATATAGTTATGCTATATACCTAGTAGGTAGTTCGAAGAATAAAATAAATATTCTCAGTTTACGTCTTAATTGTATACATAATTTCTAATATTTTTGTGTTTTTCGTAATATTTTAATCATCTATGAAAAATTTAAATGTATATACAATCATGTATATTTTTTTTCTCCCCGAAAAATAGTTATTTTGACTTGGGTATCTTCTTTTTACTTGTGTAAATAATAAATATCAAATAAATATGTGTAATGTCTATAGACAGCGTTAGCCGTTAACTGATGCTTTACTGAATTTAGTATTTAATGCTACTGATTGCAACAACATACATTGCAATGAACAGTAACTTTCAGTAAAAAGAGAATATACCAAAATAAATTAAGTGGCTAAATAGTAAGTACCTGCCTGACTATCTAATAAGACTTATTTTCGATAGAGTATATCGTCGAATACTCGTATTAGCCGTCGTACTGCATTACACTCAATATTACTATCAGTTTCAGTCAGTGGTATAAAACTATGGAGTATATACTATATGCTCATTTATACATTTTACGCACAACTAATCAGATCCAACTCTTCAAAAAGTCACTGATGAATAGTAGTTTGACATTTTATAACATTTAACTAGATAATTTCTCTTAGCAATTTTTATTAGGCACTCTGTGATTGCGACAGCTGGAACATATTTTACCCCTGTGGCCCTGTCTATACCCTCCAAAACACCACTGAACCCTTGGTTGTCGTATACATTTTAGTGACCTACTCACTGACAAGGTATACTCAACTCAATAGCACATACTATTTACTAATGGTAGGTATGTTAAATGTTAATATACAGCTGACTGACTTCCTCGGTGTTTTTTTTGTAGTTGTAAAAGTTTATTTGCTTTTTGAGTAACACCGAACACTCGAAATCAGTATTGGAAAATGGCATAATATAAAGATAGATACAGGCGTTTTCCCGCGCTGGTAGTTGTTGAGGGGGAGCGATCTCCCCCCTCCCACATGGAATTGACCTGAAGGCGCCTCTAAGTAATTGGTATCGGGTACTGTCGTATCGTGTGTCACGCAATAAAACTACTGTCGCTCTGAGCTAATGACTCTCTCCAAAATCAATCGGATTAGCGCTGATAACAAAATGTGAATGTACGATGGTCTAAGCTAGTCTGTTATAACTTTACGCTCGTTCCTTTTAAATCAGAATGACTCTCACAAAGATATTATTTAATGCTGTAGGTACTTCTGGTACTTACCTACAATTCAGTTTAAACAAAATGTGCGATTTCCTCGACTCAAAGTACGAACATGCAATGTTTCTTTCAAAAGGTTATAAGGATACGGCTTTTGATCAGCAAAACTTTTATTGATACTAATATCAAACATAAATTTATAATATTGGGCCCTGGTGTGGAGTGGTGATTGGCCGCAGTCACTAATATTTGCTGCAACCAAGCATTGTTTGCCGTCACCAACTCCCGGATGGGTGACCACCGGGTTTTTAGTGACAAATCCTCTCACCATAATTCACATACACTTGTTCCTCAACCATCCGTAACCAATACAAAATGATAATAGCCATAGTTGCCAATACTTGAGTTCAATACAAAAAAAAAAAATTATAATACACTTAGCCCATGATACTGTAGTATCTACCTAGCAGTTGTGAGTCTTTGCCAATCACCATTGATAATATTATTAATAAATAATATGGATAGGCTCAGGGATGGGCGAGGTACTCAAAAATCAGTAGCACGATACTAGATACTATAGAGTATAGATACTTGGATTTGGAGTATCGAGATACTAGATACCCGATACTTACATTTTAAGTATTTAGATATTCGATACTTACATTAATTTATGTATTAAGATACACGATACTCGAAATAAAATTAGCCACAGGTTTTTTAAAAATTTTATTTATACACAATTAGGTATATGTATATTAATTTGTTAATATAGGCCACTTATTTAATAGGTAACTTAATAATAATATTCTACGACACAATTAATTATTATTCGTGTACATAATTATTTAGATAGTCATAAACTACATAGGCAATAGGTACGTATCTATTGTATCTATACTTATCTTATCGTGTTCATTACATACTTTATTGCCGTCATCGACCACGCGAAACGTAGACTATACTATATTTTATAGTATATACAATATAATTAATATAAAATATGTACGATGTACTATGTCGTACAGATTATTCGGATATCTAATATAGTTCTATAGGTACTTACATATATACCCCGTCCCCATGAGAAGTTATTAAATAGTAATACTTTATCATAATTATAATAAATGATAATATGACTACATTTATACATTCAATAATACAACAAACTCAAAATACATATTTTCCCAATGAATCGTTCTGTTACTGTTCGATCAATATTTTATCTATTATAGGTTTATTCCTTTATCGTGTACCAACAATAATTGGTACATTGGTTAGTTATTTATACCATTACTTGTAAATCAAAGTTATGCATGAATCAATGGCGTTTTACGAGGGGTTTTATATAGGCAATCTATAATACTTATTCGACTATTACGGTTTTTACCTTTTAGGAATCCCGGTATATTATACGTTCTGGAAGAAAAAGGCTCTTACTTTTTTGATTCTGGCGATTAACGGTACGGATAAATACCTTCCTTAATTATACTGTCCGAACATAACATACTTTCTGAATTATTATAATCCCTAAATTTCACCATGACGATTTCATCAAATATTTTTTGTTAGCACTAACCAATAATTTTTATTAATTCAATTAAAAAACCTTGTTCTCGACTTGATAACTTTAAATGTATCTATGTCATCCAAATAATAAAAACACTACGTTATGGATAAAGGGGTGCGTACGAGTTGATTTCCGGGTACCTGTTTACCTGCACCGACACCGTTGAGTTGATTCCCGAGTCATCAGAGGTTACGTACTAGTTGATTCCCTATTGTTGTATATCAATTATCAATAGATTGCATGAGTTAAAGAGTTGAAGAATTTGTGGATTACCTATTTGATAGTTATATTTCTCCAGAAGCTAGTTTTCACCCAAGTATATGGGCTCAATTCTCAACTACTTTAAATAGAACTACCAATAATTGTGAGAGTTTTCATTCTAAGCTCAACAGTTGTTTCTATAGTGGGCACCCAAACATTTTTGTATTTATAAATGAGCCTAATCTTAGAAGTACAATCAGAAACGTACATTAAATGCAGGAGTAATGGAACTAAGAAATCTAAAAAACAACAAGAAAAACATATTTTTTAAGAGAAGAGATGTCACGGTATACTGGTAATCTCATTACCAGATACCAATTTATAAAAACAATGTGTTACAAATTTTTATCAAATTACCTACTAAATTTTTTTATATTTTTTTACCTACAGTTACTTATAAATGTTTTTAATAATAATATAATTCAATAAATAATTAATAAATAAAAATTGAATGATTTTCAAAATATGAAAAAACTAAAAACTAAACAGCATTTTTGAGATACTTGTCAGCCAACCTCCTCGTGGTGTTTCTTGGGTTATGCTAATAGGCTGAATATTTAACTAAATATTGAATAAAATATATAATGACCCGGGAATCAACTTTTACACTAGAAAGGTCTCGGGAATCAACTCACTTAATGCGAGATAAAGTTCTTCCCTATGTGTGGTGGAATTTTAGTAATTTTACTATGAATGCAGAAGGAGTAAAGTTGTTCCGAGCAAAAACGATTTTTGCTTTATTTTACATTTGTAAGATGGGGAGAATACATGCGGGTACCAGGTACCCTGAAGTAAAAGAAATTAATAATAAATAATTAAAGGACTGTACGTTTTTGTGATACCTACATTATACTATGGTTTTTCTGAATTATTTCTGATGTTGTTACTGATTAAGAGGATGCCATACGATTCTGAATAATTAATTTAACTCGGTGATATTTAAACTTAGAGTGAATTGACCTATAATCAAATTTAGTAGTAAGAATATTATCAGGTCGATGGCATAGATTTTTTTTTGTTTCAATTTTAAAGCGAGTTATGAGCATTTTAAAATAATAAATTGTTTGTACGTCTTAAAATGCTCACAACTCCTTTAAAATTGAAGTATAAAAAAAAACCTGTGTCATTGACTAGATAATATTCTTACCACTAAATTTAATTCTAGGTCAATCCACTCTAAGATCAAACATAACAGATTTAAATTAATTATTCAGAAAGTACACTGTGCTATGTTTTGTGTTTGTAAGACTAAGACAAAACATGCGGTATGGCGTCCTCGTAAGACACATAATATTTGGTTTTTTGATTTCGGGGTATTGGTAACTCATTTTATTCATTTCCAAGGTGGCTTTTAAAGGGTTAGTTTTAATACTGAGAAAATAATTTTTATAAAAACGTACTTCCACAATCTGTAAATTGCTTGTACAATTATTATTTATTGTATTTGATGTAAAAGGACATCAAATATTCAAATGTAAACAAAATCAGACTCTAAATATACCCTATTAAATTGACAAATCTATACATAGGTAAGAACTCAATATTTTTTGGCTCTATAAAAATTATTATACATTAACAAAATGGCACACAGCAGTTTGGTCAACACTCAACAAACTCTATTAACAAAAATAAACATAAAAACATTCATTAACAGCAATACTCAAATTGTGCAGTTAAGTATCGATTAAAATAAATAATATTAGAGTTAATCTAATGTGTATTTTTATAGATGTAAACGTCTTGGAATAAGAACTAAGCGCATGGAAAATATGAATCCACGAGGGATTTCTTTACAGAAACCCTTTCCTGGATAACTAATATTGTAATTAGATCATGCACAATACCTTGTACTAACAAGCAGACATTGCTTGTACACTGGTATTAAATTTTAAATTTATAATAAATTATAATAAAGATGTACAAAAACTAAATGACAATAACGGAAACAGAGATAAAAATCTAATTAACATTATACTATCCATATAATATACAAAATATGATAAAATAATGTACCATGTATAAAGTAATAGTTATGTTAAAAAATCATGTTATTGATAGTACTATCAACAGTTACTGAAATTTATAATTGAATATAATAAATTCAATTGCGAATTACTAAAGATATAACAGATATATATAAAATCTCCACAAATATATTATAATTCTTGTATTCATAAATATTGCTCTACTAATTATTATGTGATTAATGTTTTGTTATTTCTTCAGTAATGAATAAGAATATTAGGCATACTCAATTACAATATTGTTGATATTATTTTGACAAAGATACACATAATTCAACTGTCTCTAATGACAATGAAATCTATTGGCATGTAGTGTTTGCACTAAATTTGGTGCTAGATACTGTTGAGTGAATAAATACCATATAATACATATAATTAGACACATGGCCACTGGTTTTTAATATATTTTAACAATTTTGTTCATTACTATTCACATTAAAAATAACAATTACGAGTTAAATATGAAAAGTAATAGAAAAAAATAACACTGGTTAAAAGTTAAAACATAACAGAACTATAATACATACTGTTGCTCATAATATTATGCTAAAGGTAAACACAACATTTGAGAAAAAAATACATTTTTATTTTGTTTCACGATATCATCATACAAACAGGATTCAACACTACATTTTTAACAAAGTTATTTCACTTGGAAGTATTTTTATTTGTTACTTCTTTTGGAGTTGTTAAACAACAATTAATTTTAATTTTTCAGTTAAAGTTTTTGGGCTTTTATACAAGGTTTACCATATCGTTTACCAGCTTCAACAAAAAAAGCCTGTTCCATTTGCTTAACCAATTCATTAAAAAATGTATTGGCTAATGCTGAATGTAATTGCGATTTAAATTCATAAGATACAAAAAAAGTAATAACACAAGTATTTGGATTATCTTTTAATCCAGGATCACAATTCCATTGAGTTATTAAATATTTGAATAAATTTCCATCACGGCATTCTGCTTTAATCATACGAGGGCTATCAAATGTTATATGCGATACATAACTTTCTATTATAGGAGGAAAACCGATTTTTAAATAAGTTTTAGCATGATCCTTTCCTTTAACTATGACTGTAGATTCTCGACAAAATGGTAAAAAATTTTTATAATTTTTTGTATCTTGAATGACATCAAACATTTGCTCTGGAGAATAACTGTAAATTATAAGTTTAATTAGTAAATAAGGTAAGTATTGTAAAAATATCTAAATTATGTCAAATTTACCCAATCAATTGTTTTTCTCTATACAATTTTTTCTGGTCATTTCCTCCAGGATTAAATATATTTATAAATGTTCGTATATGTATGGAACACAGACATTTAGGAGTTATTGCTATTTTTGTAAGACAATTAGTGGAATAGAAAATGTCTTTGCCATTCATAAAACTGATAAGTTTCCATTCCCTAAAAACAAAAATGCAAGTAAATTAATAGAGACATATCAAATTAAATATTATTAAACAAAAATGGTAAACAACACAACAAATTATAATAAACTTGGAAAAAAACTAAAATAATATATTATTTAATAAATATCAAATATAACAAAGTAAAAGATAAATAATGTTTACAAAAAGTTATGCACATATTATTTAAAAAAGTTGAACAATTATTATTATTTATAAAATACTTTAAAGTAATATAGTGATTATATATCTCAATAAATTGATTCATTTAAATAATAATTTGTTTTTATACAGAGTGATTCATCAAGCATGCTCACCCCCATTTTTCCTTTAATACTGAATTTAAAAAACAGAAGTTTGTATCTCTACAAAACACTCCTTAAATAGAACAAAAAATTGAAGAATTTGAAAATATGGTCTTAAAGTATATTTAAAAATTAAAAAATCAGATTTTGAATAACTACGTTATTGAAGAAAAAAGGGGGTGAGCATGCTTGGTGAATCGCCTTGTATTTTTAACAAGCAAAGAAACTAAAGAAACCAATTAAATTTTAGAATTTATACATTAAAAGGTGTTATACACTTTAATTGTTTTTCTCTGGAAGTAAAATTATATTTTAAAAATGTATCTACTATGATACATGTATAACTATAAACATTAAGAATCATTGTACTTATAGCCATTAGCGAAACTGGATGGGGGGTTGGGGGTCTGGATTTTCACCTATGTTTACAGTATACTATTATTTAGTAACTATATCCTACATACCTACATACATTTATCCACTTATAACAGTCATCACAGTACCCATGTTTAAAATGCCTTATCCTGAAAAACATTCTTTGCAATGACATTACTAAACTTTATTGTGTTGAAATTACTTCCAGAAAATGCGTATATTTTTAATTATTTGAGGAAATGATAAGTGATAAAATTAGTAATGGTTGATTTTAAATTAATAGGTATCGATGTATTCAATATTTTTTCAACATTTGTATTAATAAATGTACCTAAAATAATTAATTAATCTACTAGGTACTAAATTTTAAATTATATATTACACCAGGCTACTGTTCTACTACATAACAATTAATATTAAAATATATTAAAATACCTAATTTATCAAAGGTTTAATTATTTATTTTTCAAATATCAACTGTGTTTAGTAAAAATACAGATTTAATAATTTAAATAATTTAATTTTTATTTTAGAATAAGGTATATTATGTATATATATATATACTATTATGAATTGTAAAAAAAAAATAATAATATGTGTACCAATTACTAAATTACTTAATAGTTTTTTTTATTGTATAATAAAAATTGTGAAATTGTGAAATTTAACTAAACTTATTTCTTTTATAGCACATGACCTCGAAGATGTGCTGCTAAAATTGAGTAGGCGAAAAAAAACCTAATTTTAACTTATAACTAATGAATAAAAAATACATAGGTATATTTATCAAGGACAAAATATTTTTATATTATTGTATAAACACTACATGTATTTGTTATCTTTTTTATTGCATGAATATTGTTTAAATATTAATATGCAAAATACATTATAAAAATATTTGAAATTATCTTAAAAATACAAGAAGTTATAACATTTTTCAATGATAAAAAATCTTTACCTGTTTTTTGAATACACGTTCGTATTAGCTAATCGCCTAAAATTCATTAACGTTGCTCTAGACATGGCTTCAAACTAACGAAAATCGAGCAACTACAAGGAACCTTTAGCATAACGTTACGTAATTATTAAAATTGCTGAGTAGAAAACAATTTATATTATTTTTAATTTTACTACTATCAGTACTATCAACTACTGTGGTTTGCGTTTCTAAGGCCTAAGCCGCCGATTGTGGAATAACATTTTTGGGACGAAAACAATTTTGTGATAGCTTATCAGCAACCATAATGATTATCATGGTGCGATACTAACAGCGACAGTGTCGTGTACTCCCCATAATCAATAGCGTAAACGAAGAAATACGTCATTATGTCCAATAGCATTTTATTCTGATTATCAGATTTAAATACCTATGTAATTTTAAATTATAAGTGTATGAAGTGGTAATTGCACAAGTTCACAGCTGCTGAATTAAAGCATTTTGATTAATATTTTAATATTAAACACTACCTACACGTGACTTTGAGTGTAGGCAGGTAATTTTAAAAATTAGGATGGTCATTTATAAATAACTAAGAAACTCTTATTATTACCTATTAGGTATCATTTTTAAATCTTCAAGCTTGCGCATGAACTTCGTTAATATTTAAAAAAAAATTGATAAATGATGTTAACGTATAACTGGAATTGAACCGCTGATTTGAGAAACGACGTAAGTCACAAAATATCACAAATTGAGCGGAATGTGTTATCAAATGATAGACGGATCATATTGTGTGAACATTTACAAAAAAATATTTAATTTTACCCATTTTCGGCCTAACTCTTGACCGCCGTCTAACCTGGGCTCACCACATCAAAGCCAAAACCTCACAATTAAATTCCCGTTTACAAATAATCAAAACCCTAATAGTCAACAACAAACACTCTAAATTAAATATTAAACTACTCCTTTACAAATCTCTTTTAAAGCCAATTTGGACGTACGGCTTACAGCTATGGGGTAACGCAAAAATATCAAATCTAAATAAAATTCAACGATTCCAAAATAAAATACTAAGAAAAATTACCAACTCTCCACTATATGTCTCTAATCACTCCCTGCATAAAGACCTACATATAAAAACAGTTCAGGAAGAAGCTAAAAATTATTACAAACGATTCCACCTACGCCTTAACTCTCATCCAAACGAACTAGTAAAAAATCTGGATTCATTAACCATTCCTGGTAATCCTCCTCGTCGCCTTAAGCGTAAATGGTGTAGAGACCTACTTAATCCTTAACAAAAAATAATAATAATAATTAAGTTAAAACAATAATATAAAAAAATAATAATAAAAAAA